CAATGGTATGTGACTGTGTTTTCGACTGTAAGCGTATATTTGCGTTGTAAAATGCGCTTAGACATTGACTCCGGTTATGGTAGTTCTGCTGTTCCAATTACATATATCATATATTTCAAATGTATGTATATATGTATGGCATATACATTTATGTATGTGCATGCTCTGTTGCAGAAATATAGAAATAATTTGCATTGAAATAAAATATTCTACTGAGAATTTAGTGTTTCAAAGTGTTGTTAAATTATTATTAATACAAAAATAATTCAACCAATTAACTGGCAGAACTGCAACTATGTTACAGTGGATAATTCTAGCTTCAGATTTCACAACTATTAATTGTTTTTAAAACTAAGCAAGCTTTCAAACGACATTGCTATGCTAGTGAAATAGCTGTTACAGGGGCGGATTCAGACCGTTGCAACCGTAGCATATGCTACGGTCAGATTTTCCCCGAGATATATTTTTCCAAGGTGTACCTTTTTAAAGTTATTAAAAACTTGAACGTTATACTTTTTTTAATTGCCGATATTTTCGCTTTTTCATTGAAACTTGGTGCAATTTTTTTCAAATTTACTAAATCATATTGATACAATTTTATCGAGTTTTTATTTCATTTTGGATAATTAAATTCGGGTTTTTCTCAAATTTCCGCCCGAAATACTGCCTGTATTTGCGGGTTTTGCACCAGTACTATATCACATCGTCCTGAAGTCGTAGCATTTGCTTCATTCTGATTGGCTTGCTTCGTTTAACCGTAGCAAACCAATCATAGCGCTGTTTTTGGAAATTTTTGCAGTGGTCAGATGGCATGGTAGAAAACCCGGGTACCGGATAACCGGATAAGCGGATGACCGGATAACCGGATAATCGGATAACCGGATAATCGGATAACCGGATAACCGGATAACCGAATAGTATATAGAGATTTTTTCATGGGAAATACTTACGTGTGGTATTTACGCACGCGTTAATTTGTTTTCGCAAATTAAACGAACGAGCGAGTGCAAAATTTGTTCTTCATAGACGATACAGAGTTTATTTATATTACACAGCGAAAAATATAAAGGTTTATATGTTTCATAAAGCGAGACAATCAGATAAACAAAGTCGTGTCGTACAAAAATACATCGGAAAATACAAATTTTTCAGTATTAATGAACAGGAAAGGAAATATCAATTTATTATTATTATTGACAAATATTTTAAAACGGCAGCTCTTCAGAACACCTATGATCCGTTTTTCAAGAGGCCGTTTAAACTAATATTTACAAAGTTTAATAAAAATTACATCTAAAATATAATATAAATTATCACACAGTTAAAGTCTAAGAGAATATATACAAAATATTGTATGCACACATAAATATAACTAACAAATATTGTCGTTTTCTCTGAGAAATGTTTTGAATTGTCCCATCGTCATTTCTTTTGCCTTAATCTCATTTGGCAAATTATTCCAGCATTTTGCCCCTGAGTAGCTAATACTTTTTTTGAGGAAATTAGTCTTAGGTTTATCCAGTTGAAATTTAATTTCGTTATTTCTAAGGTCATATTTTTCATTATTAGAGAATCTAAACAAATTAGCCATATTTGCCGGTGCCTCCTGATTTTTAACACTAAACATGAATGTGAATCTCCCGCTCTCCCTTCTTTCCTCAAGAGTTTGCCAATTAAGCTCTTTTAGGTCTTTTAGCAATTCACTTGTTCGTATTTCATATGATTTGCCAGTAATTATTCTTGCCGCTCTATTTTGCATTTTTTTGCATCTTGTCGTGCAAGTAATTGCTGCAATTTTCCCAAACTAGACTGCAATAATCAATAAAAAGGAAATATCAATAAAATAATGCACACTAACATGAACGAATAGACACACATGCATGCGTTTAAACATCATTTATATATATCAACTTTATAATACATGGTCTATAACTCTAACTTGTTTGTATTATTGTCATTTTAATTGAGTGAAAGGTTTATATTATCACGCGCTATAAAAGCATTTTAACAGGTTTTTAATAAAATATTTCGTGTGAGAAAGGATCAATATTAAAGAACTGTCTGTATTAAAGTGATGCTATTAAAAATACCAACTTCTAACGAGAATTGAAAATTATCCTTTGCACTTCAAGAGTAGCTAAGTCGGTAAAAACAAGGAAGCCAATCAACTGTTGTTACTTTAATATTTTGATTGTCATGTTTTCAACAATAAACAAAGATGGGCATTTAATATTCTCAACAAATAACAATTCTAGGTTTGATTTCTATTTTCCGGGCAAATATTTATTACTTTGAAACTGATTTCTGCCGAGGATTTCGGTTGCAGCAATATTTTCACACACCCCGGTATTGTATTCCGAATTTTTAACAAATTAAGAATTTTTAGTTTGCATTATTTTATTGATATTTCCTTTTTATTGATTATTGCAGTCTTGTTTGGGAAAATTGCAGCAATTGCTTGCACGACAAAATGCAAAAAAATGCAAAATAGAGCGGCAAGAATAATTAAGCCTAGTTTCCATTAGGTCGTTAGCTGTCGTTACCTGTCTTTCGGGGTCCTTGGAGTAATCTTGAAAGACCGATAACGACTGAGTGAAACAGAAAACGACAGTGTCGCTGGCAGTCTTTTGACGGTCTTCTTAACGGCGCGAAAAACAAAATGGCGGCCCTTAACAGGGAGTTTCTTCTTCAATTAAATTTGTTTATACTCCTTGCGATAAGGCGACAATAAAGAAAAAGAAAAAAACACCGCTTCTGGGTCAGAGAAATGTTTCAGAAGCGAGAAGAGCTTGGTGCGTACCATAGACTAGTCCTAGAACTTCGTCTGCACGACAGAGAATACTTCTTCAGGTTCGTACTTTTATCTTTTACAATAATTTTCGATTTTCTAAGGTATTGTTTACGTTGTAAAAAATTCCATACTTATTTGGTGTAAATTTCAGATTCTTACGTATGTCACCGGACCGTTTTGACCATCTGTTATCACTTGTTGGACCACTCATTGCGAAAAAGCACTGCAAATCACGTAAACCAATATCACCTTCCGAGCGTCTTGCAGTTACCTTACGCTATCTTGCCACGGGTGACTCCCAACAAAGTCACGCATTTTATTTCAGAATTGGGCGTTCTACTGTATCGAATATTGTGAAAGAAACTTGCAACGCTTTGTGGACCGCACTAAATCAGGATTACCTTAAATCACCAAGCACTGAAGAACAATGGACTAATATTGCTGATGAATTTGAAAGAGAATGGAACTTTCCGCATTGTATTGGTGCATTAGATGGGAAGCATATCGCAATGGAATGCCCTCGTAATGCAGGATCAGCGTTCTTCAACTACAAAAACTTCCATAGTACTGTACTATTGGCGACGTGTGATGCTAAATATTGTTTTACCTTGATTGACATTGGGGCATATGGACGAGAAAATGACGCTGGAGTTCTGACAGATTCTGCCTTCGGTCAAGCTTTTGAATCTGATGCAGTACACCTAAATTTACCTCAGCCAGTCAAAGTTGGTACAAGGTGTCTACCTTACGTGTTAGTTGGAGATGATATATTTCCTTTAAAAGAATGGTTAATGAAACCATACCCGGGCAAGAATTTAACTGAGCCAGAAAGAGTATTTAATTATAGATT